CCAAAATTACCAGTTACTTCTTGTACAACCTAGTCGGTATGGGAATAAAGGTGGTTTACGCAGGTTGATGTAGGCATCCTCTTGTTCTGAGACAGTGCTGCTGTTCTCATTCATGACTCTGTCTCATCTAAAGTATTTCTTTTCCCCTTATCTCATTTAAAATACATGTTTGAGTCTGGGAAGGAGGTTTTCCCATGAAAATAATAGCTCTTCTAAGCACCAGGATAATAATAGATATTCTAAGCATCATTTGCACTCCAAAGCTGCAGGAACCCCTTTTCATGTCCTCCCTGAAAATTCTCTAATGGTTGTGAGCTGACTTGAAGACGTCTTCTACTGAACAGGGATCTTCTCTGAGTGCATAATGTGACCAGAACAGCTTGATGGTGTGTCAAAAATACAATGAAGTCTCTCTATCTGAGTTAGAGTTTATATTGGGACACTCAGGAAACTTATGATAAATTAATGAAATCAATTAGCAAAACCATTTACGCAGCTGACAGCAGTGGTGAAGAGCAAACAGTGGCCAATTTACTTGCAAATTAATAAACTGCCCTTGGAGTTTAATGTGGTATAACTCGAGCACAGGTTTTCACACATTTTTCTGAATATCTTCATGTAGACCGCTACTTTTATAGTCCCAACTCATATCTTAATGGCTCTTCAGCGGATGCTTGCAGGCATATATTGCTTCTAATTCAAAACCAAGGGCATTTATAGGAAAAAGATTTGACCTTTATTGTGCTTTTCACCGTGATATATTGCATAGGGATGACTGGAAAGTCTTAGGTAGCTGCAAGTGTCTTATGGCAGTTTAAAACAACCTCTGGGGATAGAGCAAACATACTCGCCTGCAACCAGAAAGAGGCAGAAATACCTTGGACATAAAAGGGTCCAGGGTTTAGCGCCCACGAAGCCAGTCTCTTATGTTAGTCCCTGTTGCTTGAGCTTGATCTCTCCAAAGGCAAAGCTAAACAAACTCTTTTAACTCCACATCTGTGGCTGTAAATTACATTATTTAATAGGCATTCAGGGGCAAAACTTAAGCTTTTTCGTCTTCTCTAAATAGCTTACAAACTTGAAGTATTTCACCCTGTGCTTGGAATCTTTCCATCCATCAGTGAAATACGTTTTTTTGTTTGAGCGACTTTGCAATGATCTCATACACCAATAAGAATTATATTTGACCCGATCTGTGGCCAGAAGTAGGAATTATCGTTAGCCACAAGACAATTGCTTCCTTTCCCAAAGTTTCTAGCATGCCAAAAATTGCAATAAAGTCTTTTAAATAATCTCCGTAGTGACCTGCAGGCAGTTTCTCTCCACCACATCATTTCAAAGGACACTAGCCCATGTGTCTCAAATCCAGTGCCACCAAGCAGAAAGAGAACTGATATAGTAGTGCTTCAAGAAATAGCACTTAAGTTTTCAGACAACATTTCTGAAAATTCCTGAGTGGTATTTCATCCAGCTTTCTCCAAAGGTTTTTCAAACATATGCTTTATTCTGCAAAATGGTTTACTCTATTTTGTTAAAATTGCATTTTAAAATTCTGCTAATAGGAATTTTAATTATTTTCTGGCCTTGTTTCCCAAAAAAACATCCACAAGAAACTGCTTCTGGCTTTCCATAAGGTCAAAGTGAGGAGCTGCTGGTGTATTTGGACCACATGTGAACAAAAGACCTGCTCAGTAATCAGATGATGGTTTTGAAAACTCCTTTTCTTTCCTGTTTGCCTGCTGGATTCACTTCAAAAACCTGAAGATCATAGAATCATAGAATCACAGAATGGTTTGGGTTGGAAGGGACCTTGAGGATCATGTTGTTCCAACCCCCCTGCCATGGGCAGGGACACCTCCCACCAGCCCAGGTTGCTCCAAGCCCCGTCCACCCTGGCCTTGAACACCTCCAGGGATGGGGCAGCCACAGCTTCTCAGGGCAACCTGTGCCAGGGGCTCACCACCCTCACAGGCAACAATTTCTTCCTCCCATCTCATCTCAATCTCCCCTCTTTCTCCAGGCTGAACCCCCCCAACTCTCCCAGCCTGTCCTCCCAGCAGAGGGGCTCCAGCCCTCCCAGCAGCTCCGGGGCCTCCTCTGGCCCCGCTCCACCAGGTCCATGTCTCTCCTGTGCTGAGGCCCCCGAGCTGGAGGCAGCACTGCAGGGGGGTCTCCCCAGAGCAGAGCGCAGCAGAGGGGCACAATCCCCCCTCGCCCTGCTGGCCACGCTGCTGGGGATGCAGCCCGGGATGCCGGGGGCTTTTGCGGCTGTCAGCACTCATTGACAGCTCATGGCCAGTTTTTCACCCCCCAGTATCCCTAAGTCCTTCTCCTTAGGGCTGCTCTCCACCCATTCTCTGCCCAGCCTGTATTTGTGCTTGGGATTGCCCTGGCCCATGTGCAGGACCCTGCACTTGGCCTTGTTGAACCTCATGAGGTTCACTCAGGCCCACCTCTCCAGCCTGTCCAGGTCCCTTTGTATGGCATCCCATCCCTCCAGCATGTCGATTGCTCTGCTCAGCTTGGGCAGTTGGGCAGGTGATGGTGGTGGGAGCATTTCGTGCATCCGTGCACTTGCTGCAGCCACGGGAATTTCATCTTTTATGATAATCAGCCACAGGAACATCCACTGGGATGTAATAAAGGTTATGCTGTGATCTGCAAAATGATGCAGACAGATAACGCCGGCGTTTTTATGTGGTTAAAAAAATTCAAATGATGATTTCCTGGAGCGCCAGTAAATTACATAGGGTCCTACATAATGCCACGTAAGTAGGTGAGATTGGCTGAACTGCTCCAGCGTTACTTCTCCGGGTGAGTCTTCAGAAACCAGGGATAAAAGGAGCCACAGTCCTCCACGGCTGCCGCTTGCAAATACTCTGGTTAAAATAATCCAGCAATCCTTAATAATTAACTCATTATTTTAAGCCCCAAAGGGATGATTATTTTGTTCGAATTCCAGCACAATCTGGATTATTAAAGGTCTCTCATCGTGTTGAATGGTCCCTGTGGTGAACTCCACAAGGGATGGACTTAACCTCTGACAGCTGATGAAAATCAACTGTAAAAGTGCAACCTTCTCCCCAGAAACTCCTCATTTTATAATGCTTTCACAAATGGTTCCTTGCCATGCTAAGACAGCAAAAAGCGAAGATAAGTCTGAAATTGAGCATACGAGGCCAAAATCTTAGCTAGCATGACCTGGAAATCTGCAGGGACTTCTTTGGAGCTACATCAGTTTCACTGCTGTAAAATCATTAATAAATTAACATGGGATTTGGGGTCATATTTGAATTTTCCTCAGGGGGAATTTTTGCTTTTTAGTCCTTGAATTATGGGTTAGATCTCTCAGTGTATGTTAAGCAGCAAATTAAATGCAATTTCCATATATAGGGCATGTGACCTGCTACGTTAAGTAACTCATTTGACTTTTCTAAACATAAGTATTTTAAGAAAGTTTAGAGATAGTCATCCGCTCCTGTGAAAATGAAGAAAAATGGGAAAACCCTGCTGCGGTAGTGTCATATGGACTTTAAATTCACCAAATCAGCATAAGTTGGTCACAGAATAGTCATGTATCTTCCGAGGATTGATGTGTTATTTTTTTAAATCCTTTGATATTTTGGGCAAACAAGCAGGGGCATGTTCACGTTGCTTCCATAACCTGTTTTTAGTGATTTGCCTCAGAAATGACTCTGTTCTTGCAATAATGATCCTTTCTAGTATAATTCTGAGCAAGAACTAGTTTTCTCAGTGGAAGTAGCGTATCTAAAGGGTTTCAAATTCAGAAAGCATTACTAAATCTCTTGATTTTATGATCATTTTTGTCATTCCAAATGCATTTTTCAGCCCTTGAATAAAGACCGGTCGAAAGAAAAAAAAAAAAAAACACAACGCAGATTTTATTTATTTCATTTTAAACAGCAAGTTTTGATGCTCCAAGAAGAAGATGGGAAGTTCAAAAGCAAGGAGCTCGTGCATTGGAATGAACCAGAAACCAGGAGGTGAATCAAACTGATACAACAGGTCCAAAATTACTATGTTTGAACCTCCTGGTCTCCACAACGTGTCTCAGGAGTCTGTACACTTGAAGATAGTGCACTTTCCTATTGAAAATACTGAAATAGTAGGGTTTTTTCTTTGTCAGAAGACAAAAAAAATGGAGATGCACTGGTTCCCAGAGGATCCTCCAAAGAAAGGCTGCTGTTTTGAAATAGTTTTCCTGATCGGAGACAGCAATATCCAGAACTCAAACACAACTCCAAGCTCATGGTGCCCAAAACTTAAGCTCAAAGTATTACATTGATTTGGCACCCACACATAGAATCAGACAATTTGGCCAGACAAGTCCATGCCAATGTGTCCCTATGTGGTAAACCAGGGAATTACTGAGGGGAAAAATCTGGCAGCTCTGTTTTCAATTCCTAGGAAGTACTTTGGGGAAAGGCAGACCACAGCGAGCGGCTGCAAGGGAAGGAGGAGGGTGGAAGAGGATAACTTCTGCAAAGATGGCCATCGAACTCCAGGAAACTTGACTTTCCACTCCACTTTTCATTATTCTTCCTTTTTTTTTTTTTTATTTATTTTTAATGAGTTCAGCGTTGAATACCCAAGACCAAAACGCATGCTGAGGACAATGCTGCTCCAATGCACATCAACATAGCATGAATATTGCAAAACCATGAGTACTGCAGGTGAACAAAGGCTTGGTGGGCTTCCAGGGGGAAAGGTCTCCATGATGCGGAAGCTGCATAGGGCTGAGGACAGGAGGAGAAGAGGAGAGGAGGACAGGAGAACAGGAGGACAGGACTTTCCAGCACTGCATGCCACACTCAACCCTTCCAGAGCCGCCTGGCTGGGTGGGAACAGGCATTTCCAGTGCCGTGGTGCGCGTCAGGGACAGGCGTTCCCAGTGCTGCTGCTGGGGCAGTGGGACGGGCGTTCCCAGTAGTGTGGGGATGGGTGTTTCGGCACAGCCTGTTCCGGTCCCTGGCAGTGCGATGGGGACAAGTGTCTCCAGCGTGGCTGCCTATGCCGGGCAGGCACTGCAGGGTGCCATGGGGATGGGTGGCCCTGGTGGGGCACGGGGACAGGATTGGCGCTCCCGGTGCTGCCCGGTAGGTGGGGATGGTGCCTCCCCGGTGGGCATGGTTCTCCTGGTCAGCATGGAGGTTTCCTGGGTGGGGTGGGTTGGAGGTAGGTGCTGGGGGGATGGCTGTGTTTGGCCTCATCGTCTGTTGGCATCAGGGTTGGCCTGATGTGGAGTGGGCTGGTGGGACATGGGATGGGTTGGTGTGGTGTGTGATGGGTTGGCATGATGTGGGATGGATCGGTGTGGTATTGGGTTGGTTGGCATGATGTTATGAGGCAGGTTGGCCTGTTGTGGAGCAGGTTGGTCTTTTGTGGGGCAGGTTGGCATGATGTGGGGCTGGTTGGCCTGTTATGGGGTAGGTTGTCTTTTGTGGGGCAGGCTCATGTGATGTGGGATGGGTTGACATGGTGCGGGAAGGGTTGGTGTTGGGTTGGGTTGGTTGGCATGATGTTACGGAGCAGGTTGGCCTCTTATGGGGCAGACTGGTCTTTTGTGGGGCAGGCTGACATGATGTGGGGCAGGTTGGCCTGTTATGGGGCAGGCTGGCCTGTTGTGGGGCAGGTTGACATGATGTGGGGCAGGTTGGCATCTTGTGGAGCAGGTCAGTCTTTTGTGGGGCAGGCTGGCATGATGTGGGATGGGTCAGCTTGGTGTGGGGTGGGTTGTTGTGGTGTTGGGTTGGGTTGGTGTGGTGTTGGGTTGGTTGGCATGATATTATGGGGCAGGTTGCCCTTTTATGAGGCAGGCTGGTCTTTTGTGGGGCAGGCTGACATGATGTGGGGCTGGTTGGCTTGTTATGGGGCAGGTCATCTTTTGTGGGGCAGGCTGGTGTGATGTGGGATGGGTTGACATGGTGCAAGATGGGTTGTTGCTGTGTTTGGTTGGGTTGGTGTGGTGTTGGGTTGGTTGGCACGATGTTATGGAGCAGGTTGGTCTTTTGTGGGGCGGGCTGATGTGATGTGGGGCAAGCTGGCATGATGTGGGGCAGGTTGGCCTGTTATAGAGCAGGCTTGTCTTTTGTGGGGCAGGCTGACATGATATGGGGCAGGTTGTCTTCTGTGGGGTAGACTGGTGTGATGTGGGATGGATTGGCATGGTGTGGGATGGGTTGGTGTGGTGTTGGGTTGGTTGGCACGATGTTATGGAGCAGGTTGGTCTTTTGTGGGGCTGGCTGATGTGACGTGGGGCAGGTTGGCATGATGTGGGGCAGGTGGACATGATGCAGGGGCAGGTTGGCCTGCCGTGGTGGGGCAGGTTTGGGCTGTTGTGGGGCAGGTAGGTGTGATGTGGGGCAGGTTGGTCTGCTGCAGGGCATATTGGTGCGATGTGGGGCCGGTTGGTGTGATGTGGGGCACATTGGCCTGTCGTGAGCCCGGTCGGTCTGCCCC